AAATTACCGTAACGTGAAATTAATTGAAAAGAACGATGACAGATCGCTTTCATAATTCCGGACATATATGGGTTTTTAAAACAAGAAAGCGTTGTTTAATGATTTGCCGACATATTTATGTAAACAACGATCGAATTGTTTCCGGATTCCGATAACACTAAACTGTATGCAATTGGCTTCAAGGGTACTCACGTAGTACTTCCTTCGACTTCGGCATGTGCGTTTCTTTTATCTTTCTTTCTAAAACAGATGCGCCATAAATTATGAACTCGTTTCTGCGATGTTCCCTAAGAAACTAGTGGATTCATCTGAGCCAATGTAAATGGCTGAACTGATAAAAAATCGATAGTCACCTTATCGGAACGGACAATCATATGCGAATCTTGAGTCAAACACATGGCTTGAGTGCAAGACCTACACTCGAGATTATCGCATTCTTACATTACCGACAAAGTAAACGAATCCATTCGATGAGGAAAATGTGAAAGAAATTTATATGCGACTGAAATAGAACGGGACAATCGAAAATCATTTACAGATAGTGACTGTTATCAAACACTGGAAAATTTCTACGTTTAAAGTTTATATTTTGTTTTTCGATCTGATGAAGCAAGAAAAAAGGCGAAAGATATGGAACCGTGTTTTATGAATTATGTTTCTCTTCTATCTATCCCATTTCTGTGCATTCGAAATTTATTGCATTCGTACACTGCGAAGAAAAAAACAACAAATTTAACAACATAAATATAAAGGAAGCTTCTGTGTGACCAAAATTATTGCTCTTAAAAATTCTGGTTGTTATCAAACACGAAAAAATGTCGAAACGTTATGTTTATTTTTTATTCTTTATTCCGATGAAGCCACAAACAACCGGAAATTGGGAAACCTTGCATGTGATTTATGAACTATGTTCTGATTTGTAGTTCTGAAACAGAAAAGACGAAGAGGCTATTTTCTCGCTCTTTTTCTATCTTTCTACTTGAAACAGCGCAAACTTTTTACATGCGTAATGCAATATGAAGAAAATCTATCTATCAGTAAGAGAGAGATAGGAAGAGAGAGAAAGAAAGGATAGCCACTCTTTTCTCTCCCTTTTCCTTTTATTGCCTTCACTTCCCTCTCATGGGAAAAGATCCATGGTTAAAATTCAGAAGATGAATAAAAATTAGAAACATACGTCCATTTTGCTCTTTACTCCGTGTATCTTGTTTTTTCTTTTACCAATCGCGCTGGCAATTTCCATTAAATCTCGCGTGTTCGTTTTCACTTTAAATATTTTATGGATTCTTATTTCTTATATATTTATTTTTATTATATACTCTCGGCAGAATCGACGAAAAGCTGAGAATCGAGAAAACCTGTGTGAGTTTTTACGATTCTGTTTCGCTGCAGTTGAAACCGATAAATCGAAAAACATCTAGTTTGCTGTTTGCCGATTGAAAATACAAACCTAGTCGTCGGTTTTGTATTTCAAAACTTGACATGTTTGTACCTCTGATCGGTGTAACTGTGACGTTTTCGCGGAAAGAAGATGATTCCGAAGAAAGAAAATGATGACCTGGACTTTTCGCACTTTTCTCGCCAGCAACGTATCTCGTAGAAATAGGAACATTTGATCTTACAATTAATATCAGCGTCTTTTGTTAATAAAAAAATGCCGATATGTAACACGGGTAATTGTAAAAAAGCGGCAATTGTATGAATCTCGTATATTTCAGAGAAGTGCTCGGTAAAAAAAAAGGAAAAAAAGTATGAAATGTAATGCATTTTCTTGGTAGTCGAGCCTGTCATCTTCGATTTGACCTCTCGCCTCTTTACTCTGGATATTTCCCCTCCTTTTTTTAAACATTATCGCTAATAATTTTCTTTCGTTTTTTCGCTAGCAAAGGTCAATTCAGTTATCCAGTCTAGAACGAAATTTTTACCTCAAAGATGATTCAATCACTTATCAAAATGCGCATTAATAAAAAAAAAAAAATCATGAAAATTTATGAGCCTATCGCCGTTATCAAATTTATTGTCTAGCTCTGTGTATACACGCCTATTCAGACATTTTTCAGCGCAAAACCGCGTTTTCCGTATGAAATAATTTTTCTTTATCGCAAATATTTCAGCAAATATTTCTTTAACTTGCGAAATCAATTAGAGAAGAATAATCATTTACATATTAGTCCGAGTCATTGGACTAATTTCGAATTTTGTGACAAACTAGCTGTTAAGCTCGTTTCGTATTCTTTTTTATAACTTCAATGGTCCAGGTACTGCATAGTACTTTGTCGTAAAATTATGTTGTAGCAACAGTAAAAAAGATAGTATTGTAATAGTTCAAACGAATGAGCGATATACAGTTTATTGTCGCTAGAAAAGAATATTGCAACCATGAATAGAATTTGTGTCGCGCCAGTGCCGTAATTGTTTTATTGTTGTCAATATAACAAAAACGTTTCCGGAAAAAAATGTTGCTGTCCCATTTTCAAGAGTTCACATTTGTTAAAGCAACTAAAATTTCTTGTTATGACCGTAAATTTTTTTTCCGCGGGTAGAGATGCAGGACCTTATCAATTTTATGTCGTAAAAGTGTATCGGTATACATTCATTATAAATGTCTAAATATATATATAATTTCATACCGTCATAATTTTTTGAAATTGTAAAAAAAAATCAATACACTTATGTACAAAAGCTATAACATCAGCTTATGGAATATATAAATGAAATACCACGAAATTACTATCTCATGTCAATAAGACTTTCAAAAAATTGTTATAAATATACAATATGTTTTTAACAGCGTAGATAAACTCGTTGTTTGCTTTTTTTAAGCGCAATGACAACCGATTCCGGTTTAGCTGAAGGGTTAGACCGATGTATCAGAAGTTCGCGATCCTTCGTTTTTTCTATTTATTATTCTTTTCTTTCCTTCCCTCCTGCAATTAACTTGAATTACGTTACGAAACAGGTTAACAATTCGACCGCCGCCCCTGTAGTTCATGAACTATTCATAATATATCTTCGCGTAATAAATTGAAAAAATGTGCGCGTCATTTGATGCCTTTTCCTTATTTCTCATTTTTTGCAGAATCGGTATCACTCGGTCGCTCGATCCTACGCATGCATTTTGCAAATGTCGCGAACAACAACAATTCAACATCACGATCTAGGGCTGTACGTTATACGATACGTAATACTAGACGTTGTTAAGACGACCACCACATTCGTGATTACCGCCCGTCGCACTCGTGAATGCTCGTCTAGAACGATAATTATCAGTAAACTGACGACAATTTGCAGTAAAAATACTCACGAGTTCCAGCGTTAACAAAAGCTTCGACAGATTTTTCATTATGCATGTATGAATTCGCGAGTCGAACGAGTCCAGAATTTATTTTTAAGCATTCGGCTAGGCCGGTAACGATGTTTTCTTCCGTTCTTTTTTATTTGTCCGTTCATTTATACGTAGCAAAACTTTTATATTACAATATTTTTATCTTGCTATTACATTGGCCGTTGTCATATCGAGTCGAATGGTTTCAAGTAAAAAGAAGAAGAAAGAGGGAGAAAACAGCCCCTCATTTTTTACTCTTTAAGGTGAGGTGAAACACGTCGAGGAACTTGCTCAACGTCGATAAAGAAGATGCCTACGTTGCCGACGTTCGTTTTTATATTGACAGCTGTGTCGAATTATATTGGGTATTGTACCAAATGACAGACTCCATCTGTCGTTTTCGTACAATAATTATAAAGAAATCGAGGTAAAACTCCCGAAATCCTCTGGATTCATGCTTTCTGGGGCCCTAATTGACTGCAGAGGGACCCCCTGCGCCATCTGTGATTTCCGTGTCAACTAAATTTTCACTCCGAGACCTCGTATTACCATCGTTTTAGCATAGAAGCACATACAACACTTTTTTTGCCTCTATCTCGTTCAAATGCGAGTTTATCGATTACCAGAGTGTTCTAAATTGTCGTAAAATTGTCCTGACCCTTTCGATTCTCATATCAGCCTTCAATAATTGTACATTGATCGAAATATGAGAGCTCGACGTCATTTTGGTTCTGGTCTGGGCTGAGTTAAACAATTTTTTTTTAAAATCCAAATTTTGAATGTGTCAGGACAATTCTTAGATCATCAGGAGTGACGTGTCAACGTTTCGGACAGTTTGGTCGAATACCCTTAAAAAAAGTGTTGTATTCGAATCGACTAATTTGAAGGGGGTTTCACTTCACCTTAATTTCCGCCGTCTTCCTAATCGGATCAGAATGCGAATCGCTTATCTTCGTATCGCTTTGCATACTTTTACGTAAAATAAAAAAGAGTAGGAGCGAGTAAACTGCCCCTCTGTCTTTGCTCTTCAATTTCTGCCAATTTTCTACTCATATCAGAGTGCGGTGTCCACATTTCCCACGTGCATAGTTTTACGCGGATCAACTCGTCAAAGTTTCTTATAGCTCAACTATGAAAATGCAATACACGAAATCCACAAAACCAGTTTAATATTCCCTTGATATGTTCATGAAGGAGCCAAAAACATAAGATAGCCAATGGAGGACTATCATCTCTTTTTCTCTTACTATTGGGTCGATTATCGCCACATCGCGTTGTGCAATTGTTTCACGTAAAAGGGGAGAAAAAGAGCAAGGAGCGGCTCCTCTGTTTTCGCTCTTTAATTTCCATCGTCCTCCGAGTCAGATCACGAGGTGCGAGGTCCATATACTAAGTAAAAATAGTGGTACACATTACCACTATTGTTGTACAATAGGCGCCAGTCCCTACAAGAGGTAGGAAACACAACTATACGATAAAACGAAGAGAAGGAATAATTTTACAAATCGCATTCTTTCTTTCCACCCTTGTATTCTCTTTTTCCATAACTATAAGTCATATCCTTCGTAGAGACTTCGCCTATTTTGCAACCACATTTGTCTCAGTGTGCGTCCCACGTTCGCATATATGTAGAACGTACGTTTCCCGATCCGTTCCGAAAGATTGATCGACTCACCCTAGCCTCGGAGTGCAATTTTGCACTTTCCAACTTTCGCCGTTCTCGGCCAGCGATGGCTCCCAATGTTCCAACAGCAAAGACAGAGTCCGGAAATCACCGAGTCGGTGTTTTATCCCGAGAGCGACACCACCGAGATGGAGAATCCACCCCACTTACATACCCGCCTTCTCGGTGCAATTACAAGTAAACCGTGAAACGGAACAGTGCCCTCGGAGGAATAACGGAGAGCCTCTAACGATACTCTTCTCTCCTTCTGTTTTTGTCTTTGTATTTACTTCTTCGCCTCTCTTCCTCCCCTCTAATTTGTCCCTGCAACGACGTTGGAGACGTTTCCTTCTCTTCGGGTTTTTTTGGTCGTTATCGGTCTTCCTTTTTCTCGGTTTTTCTTTATATTCCTCGACCTGCTCCTTCGGCGTGGGTCGCAAGAAGCCGCGGAACAATGACTCGTCATCCGACGACACTCTTTTTTTAATAATGGAGGGGGTCTCGGTCGGGGCCTCTTACGAGACCCTCTCCGGGGGAACCGAGCTCGCTGTTCCTATTTTAATTACCCACCGGCAATGGAGATTGCGACATCGCCGCGAAAAAGCCGACGACGATCCGCGGAATTGCGATTTATGCCGCCTTTTTTTACTCCTTCACTTTTTGGCTAAAATATGTCCTCTACTTTTGGAGCGCGCCCTGCGGAATCGCGAGAGACTCCCCCCGAGGGATTACCGTGTATATTGGATAAGATAAGATAATCGCTGCCGATAGCGGATGTTGTGATATACTTATTGTAATACCCGGTTCTTAAAAATGTTTAGCGAGGGTTTAGGTATTTTTAACCTTGTATTCTTGGGGGGACCTCGGGACTCGCGAAATCTCTGTCGTGGAATTTGGCAAAATCTACAGAAAAAAATCAGGGTTACTTGGGGACTTGTTAGAATTGTTGCTTTATTGGGTGCTGGATTTTATTTGTTATCGGTATATGACTAGAAAGTCATTTTGATTGTGCGATGGGGTCTAAGATAGTAAGGGGATTAGTAGGTTGAGAAATGGGTTTTAATCAATGTGAGTTTGTGATATTAACAAATGTTTGCCCTTAGGGTTGTTTTATGTCATATTTTACGGAGAATTTAAGGAGAAACGAATTTAAATGCATCAGAATGGAGGATTTGTAGAAGCTGGAAATGTCTGATTTTCATTTTCATCGTGTACGTAATTTCCGAAGAACAGCAAGTTTGGAAGAAAACATTAAGACGGTTTTAGAAACTAAAAAGGAGTTTTTAAGAACTGATTGTATGTATTTTTTTGGAAAATTTTAGTTTAAAAGATAATCAACGACGAAAGTGCAAAAAAGCAATGGGAAAGTAATTTCTACTTCTTATTTCTTTTACTATGATCTGTATATCTTTTTCATTGAAAAATCGCGTCATCGGCAATTATATAATCGATTCTAGTTTCAAAAATCACCTTAACTTTTTATATTATCTTCAGCCACCACAAGTCATTTTGAGATGCCATGCCATTTTGAGATACTTTAAAATTTCTTTTATCTTAAATTCTTCGTACCAGAAGAAAAAAAAACCCGCAAGCAAATATTCCCTATACCTTTCATCCTCTTTAAAACTCACTTTGATTAAAGTATATTTTACATCCACTAATCTCTGTAAATATTAATCACTAGAAAGGTCAATATGGTGAAAATGGTTCTTCAGATTATATCTGTTAATTGATCTTTTGTTTTTATTTAAAATTTAATGAAGCTGGATGGTACATTAAATGACAGTGGATTTGATACGTGATAAACGAACGCCCTTTTTATGCAAAAATTATTTATCATTTTTAGGGACTAACGTAAAGAAACTTCTCATCAGGTAGACGTCCAATTTGTAAACATAAAACTTATACTATTTCACATGATGTAAGATGATGCGGTACATGTATAAGTTTCCATTCAAGTAAACACCTGAATATCCGGTTGGATCTGCGAGTGATTATACAATCCGTTACGAGAACTGTCGCGTGTTCGATTCGCGTTACGGAACAGGAAACACGCGTTTGATCAACCAGTTTACAAACTCTTTGTACATATAGCCTAGAAGAGAGGTTCCCCAACTCGGAAATTTAATAAATTTTGCAACTTAGGGGATATTTAAAGTGAGTCTAGGTGAGTCATCATTTTTTTTCGGCGGAAAATTATTTTGAAGGGGTGAAATCATTCCTTGAAAATGATTGGATTTTCAGTTTTTATTTGCTTTTTCCGCAAACGATGAGAGATGCGACGAAATGTTTAGAATAAAAGAATAGCCAATTTACTTTTATCATTTCAATTGCGATAGGCGAAAAAACAAGTTTTCCCTTCTGTTTTCGAATTTCCGAGTTGGGGAACCTGCCTTGTTAAAAATCTGAAGTAAAAAATCCGATGCCTGAATTCGGTTTATCGCTTCTCAAAGTGGATAATAAAGTTTCACGTGCGAATGGGGGTACATGTACCTATCAGCTGTCGTTGACAGCTGGACTGACTACCTTGCGCTCTGAGCGAAAATGAATTGTCATTATGGAATTTCTACACTGTTAACACTAGAACTACCAAGACCAGTCAAAATGACTGGTTTCAAATCCCATCCTATACAAAAAAAAATCCGCCGGTAGTTTTAGTGTTAAACGAAAAATACTGAAATTTTCTACACTTTTTTGGAAGTTTTATTCAGACATTATTTACTAATTTTCTAACATTTAATTTATATATTTTATAAAGAAATGTTACAAAATTTAGTACGTAAGTGTATTAACATTCCTACATAATTTTACGAGATTATAACACGTTGCTATATATTGTAAATTTATTTGAAAATTCATAACAAATGTATACTAATTCACGTTTAAGGCATGAAATTTGTAATTTTAGTACAACCTTATATATTAAAAGTGTAAGAATTTTATGAATATTTTTAACAGCGTAGTTTAGGAGCGAAAATTGAAAATTAAAGGAAACATTGGACCATTTATTTACATTAAGAATAGATAGGAAAAGGGGACAGAAGACGTTTAACCGAGTTTGAAATCCGTTTTCTGCGTACAAACCAAACGTTGAAAAAAGCAAATTCAAATGACTCATTGCACTTGCCAATGCAGTTGCCGCATATCGGAGCTAATTACTCATTTTAACGTGCAATAAGCCGGCTTCTAGAAAGATAGAACTTGTACGGTGGCGAACATGAATGCTTTCTCATCACACATTGGTGCCGCCATGTCTGCAGGGGTGGCATTCATGTCCGCCAGCGTATTAACCACGTTCCATTGCACAAAGTTTTATATGCAAACTGATAGCACTGCGATAACCGTCCGCTAAAAAATCCAGAACGCGGAAATTATGATTAGGATTGAAAGTCTTTAAAGAAACCAATATCATTTCCTATTACAGAACGCAGTGTGTTACCGTATCGGCGAACAGGACGATAATGTAACAGGACTCGAGGAGGTCAACACTGGGAACATCAGTGGAAACGTAGCAGCTGCAGCCCCGGTATGCTATGGAAGGAACATGACTTTCCCTCGACAAGCCTCGTCGTACACTCATAGACACGAGTTACCGGCTATAGTGATCGAAGGGGAGAACTACAGGTACCCTGGAGAGGTGTGTATTGCAAATTATTTAATATCCAACATCTAGTTACGTACTCTGGCATAACGAATGCTTTCCTATCATACGCTGGCAGCACGATATTCATAAAGACGGCCTTTATGGCCTCTGGTGTACATACAGGCCGAATGTAGTACCGGTTTCCATCATGGCTGCGCCCGAAGCGACGCAGTTTCTATGACAACGTAAGGCGCCGCGGTTGCCGTAGCAACGCCGGATGACGCGGTCTCCATGGCAACGGCGTCCCGCGAAGTGTCGCTAAGGGAGCCGCGAGTCGACCTCGCATTATTTTCACGGCCTTCGGGGCCTTCACAGATATCTCGCGTATAACGGTAAGCATAACGGTAAGAATTGGCCAATCAGATTGTAGAAAATGTAATATATCGTCGATGTTCGGCAATTTGATGGGTCAATTGTTATTGCGATGCTTAAAGATACCGTTTGCGAGGTATCTGTGAAAATCTTGCAGCAAAGTTGTAACGAAAGTACTTATACCGAAAGTAAAAATGAAAGCAAAAGAAGAAAAATCATTTTGCGAAAATAATCGAATACGAAAATCTAAACGATGCGAAACTCTCGCATACCACGAAAGTGAAATTAAATATTCATTACAACCTTGCAGGCCTTGCTAGCAGAAAATTGAATATGGTGTTCTACGTTCTGCATTTGTTTGGTCAGTTCTTCCTGTTACGTTTACGGTCACTCTTACATTGATAAAAATGACCATGTAAATTTACATACTTAATCATTGGTTATTTCGATGACACGATGAATTGCAGTAAAATTACATTATCTCTGTAATATCACATTCAGCATCTGAGTTAAATTATAGAAAATTATAATGTAATATTACATTGAATTCAACTAAAAATGCACCAAGACGGTAAATATGCAATGTTACGTGTTTTTATACATTTTCTAATAAGTAATTTTTCCATTTTACGTTTTTCTATGTGAAACTTAAGTTATGAAGTGTGTAAAAATGTATGTAAATTTCCATCTATTTTTATCAATGTACGCAAGGTATCCAAGAAGACTTTTACCTTCTCTGCCAACGGTACTTCTATCTCCCTGTTTTTTTGTTTAATTTTTTCCCGACCAACTCTCAAGAGAGCTGTTTTCTCCGCTTTTTCGTTCAGCAGCCTGAGAACAACTCATGCAGCGATGGCCACTTGTCGGACATAATGCCGGACGTAGCCATGGCCACGGCATCTTTCGGAGCGCTCCAGGTGGCCGAGCCGCAGGAACTGGAACTAGACCTTGGTGACGGCACCTCGCACCTTCTGCAGCATGCACAAACGATGGCCAGGACCGTCGGACCTCACCATCCGTTGCTTCCTCATCAACGCCAAAGAACTTTCTTAAGACCGCCGCCGCCGTCTTACATCCACCATCGCTCCGGAGCTGGCCCGCCAAGGTTTATTTGAAACTGCAACGGATAAGAACTGCGACAAGATCTCCACCAACCTCAGTACAAGTGCAAACTGTCTTTTAGCATTCTGTGTGCAACACTAATCGGCTCATTAATCGGTTAGGGGTGAACCTCGACGAGCTGCAAGGGTGACGAGATCTACTGGAAGGCTGGTCGGCAAGTGAAGAGACGCCTCGACGATTTCCGGGCGATTTTCGCGCGATTTCTGTAACTCTATGGGTTGGAGGTAGGTTATACGCCATATTAAGAGGCACCATTTATGTCGGACCAATGTAATTACCTGCCGGTTAAGTCTAACGGGTTTTAACGAGCGAAAAGTGCGGTGCAAAGCGCCCAGGCAACGCGTCTGTCACGGTTGTCGCTTTCGTTATATGTAATGTGTTCTTCGCAACACTGGGAGCAACGTGCTGCACGAGAAGTGGGACATGGGAAATTTAGTTCACGACTTTGCTTGTGATCCACTCCGTGAGGGGATATTTCAAATGCCTGTTTCCCGCGGAAAACGACGGACCGATCGACCGAAGTGGACGTTGGAGAGCATCTAATCGAATTGTTGAGAGACAAACATCACCGAGTACAAACTGCGGTTGCGGGAAAAGTACCTGATGCAAATGGATACTTCAGAGTGTCGACTGAAAATCATCACTTCGGTTAGGTTGCTCCTGCCTTTTTCTAGCAAAATTGGTACTCCAAGTATGCGTTTCGTTTCCGAAAGGTACTTGAGATACTACCCCCAAGTAGCTTATTTTTAAATAGTGCCCAGCACTGGTTCTTAGGGAGGGTTCTTTGTAATTAATAATTTACTTGCAGTACCCAGTGCGAGAAATCGAGCAGCTCGCGTTTAAGGGATGTTTCAATAATGTTTCCTTCTGTTTTAAGTTTCTTTGACCTGTGAGAATTTAAAGAACGGAGTCTTCGTGGACAGGTTCACGTCCGAGAATAGGAAAACGGACTTTTCTGGACAATTGACTCGCGACTCTCCTGAACTCGGTGTTGATAACGGTGTGAAGCACAATTGCAGGATATTGATTTTTTTCTTTTTTTATCCGTCGAATCACCAATGGGTGACCTGCTTTCGTTACGCGTTCAGTACGAAGTGCAATGATTTTTTTGTTGCAACCTTTCCCCGGGATTTCGCTGAGCAAAAATCCTTGACAGTGCGCGACTAGTAAATGCGCAAGACTGCCGTCAAATTAATCGTTTAAGCATCCTTCTTTTTGGTCTTTCAAGTCACAGTGCCTAATGCAATTGATCGACGATTGACGTTTGGCGAAGATATGTTTCGATTACAATTCCGATGGAATTGAGCAGCGACAGAAGTACCCGGATCTAGTTACAGATGAACTTCGGATATGAAAAAGTAACGCGATCCCGTGTGAATATGTAGACAAAGTAATCTACGTTTATCATTTTAATTTTTGCATAAACTGTTTCGTGATTTGCATCGCTCCTCGGGTAGAAGCGTTTAGTTATTAACCACTAGAACAGCCAAGGCTGACTATATAGCATAATGACGGGTTTTGGGGTATTTGCACAACTATACAATGTACAGAACGTCGAAATTCTAATGGTTAATGGAAAATAAATTGATATACATTCTACTATATCCAAAAAAAGTCGACGTGATTTCTGACAAACGTACCTTGATAGTTGCTGTGATTTAAGACAAGAAATCTAAAATCCGTAGTTTTTGTCGGCTGTGGTTGTTTTAATGTTAAAAGACCAGTAAAGACAAGTCAACCATGCTGAATTGTGACGTCAGAGGCGATAAAATCACGTGAAATTTCCGGCGGGTGTTCGACTACATTTTTCACATTTTGGTTGAGAAATAGATGTCCCGGTGATCAGTAGATATGTAAATTGTATTTCCGATCCTCGTTTGCAATGATATTGCGATGTCATGAAATTATAAATTCAACTAGAAATATATGATAGGTATATGTTAATACACTTATCAGATCTCAAATTTATAATATGACAACGGCCTTACAAACTGAAGGTATAAGTTTCAGTATAGTAATGTATTTAACAGGGTAGTTTCTGCGTGTCCTGGTCTTCGTTGGCAAAAGTCCTTTGTTTCGCAAAATACCGCCTGGAAATTTTATGCGATTTTCTCATTTCTGATATTATAGTATAATACGGCCGATCTAACTTTACTTCCGAATCATTTAAATCGATCATTGTATGTGAAATCAGCATGTTCGACGGTTTCTAAACCAGCGTTAACGGACAAGCGCAGGTTGAAAAAAAGAAAGACTGTTCCTTACTGTGTTCATTTTGCGATGACACTGAATGAGTTCTCTTTTATCTAAGTCAGTGGACTCCCGTTACGCGAAATTGACACTTGTTTTTGGCGAAAGAGATTTCATCGAAAGTGTTGCAATTGACAATTCAGTCGTGTCATGGCGATATTTTCCATAAACGCAGGCGATAAACGCAGTTCCTAGAATCCGACATCGTTTCGCACCGGTAGAATTATCGTTTATTTTTTATCTTTTATTTACTTACATTTTTTATGAAAACGTACCGTAAGGCGTTAAAAGACTTCTTGAAAAGTGACAAGAATCAAGGAAATTGAAGTTAAGTTAAAGAGTTAAATCAAAGTTTTAAATAATTGCTAACTGGAGAATTTGCTCGAGGAGAATAGAAATCGGACAATATGATAATATCGATCATGCAGAAAAATACTTAGTCAAGAAAATGTTTGTTGGTTCAACCATAGAATTTGATTATTATATGCACAACCAAGTAATTGATTGACTTGAAATACATTCTTGGTTAATAACTTTTGGTTGATTGCATCAAGTATCGCGATCGATCACACCTAGTATTAAAGTAATTTGTTACATTTAATCAAAATACTTTAGTTGGTTGAAACAAACGAGTTTGCGAATTTAGCTAAATTTTAGTTCACTCAACTAAAACGTTTTCTGAAATTAATCAAATGCAGTTAATCAAACGATTTCTTTCAATAAACCAATATTTTGTTAAAGTTACATATTGCAGAGAATCTCCTCTTATTATTACTTTTTCTAGACAAAATTTCATCGAAATTGACTCGAGACATATTTCGCCTTTTTCGCTATAGACACCCGGCCAGATGCAACTTCGTGAGGATCTTCGATTAATGATAATTCCGCGTTAGAAGTATGTTGTACAATAAACCCCGTCGCTTCGTGTTGCATTAAGAAGAAGAAAGAAGAAAAAACACAAAAAAGAAGAAAAAGATCTGTATAATTTAACTCTTTTAATTACCCGTTGAACCGTTCGTGGGAACGATCGTTGTATCTTCGTCCGATTCGGACGACACTGAGAAAGTTGCAATCAGCTGGTAAGACCTAGGTACAGCTGTGATATATACCTGTAAATATATACTATACATATATACATATATAGAAATGTAAATATAAATATAAATATTACGTTAACGCGGTATTTTCTTAAAGCCATGTTACGGTAGCTTAGGGATATTCCCTGCTTGTAAAAAAGTTCCGATATACCCTTCCCCACCTACGGAAATTCAAGGTCATACATGGTAGCTTTAAAAAAGGCTTAAAGAGCCGAGAAGACGCATTTAGGAACGTAATTATTAACTGTAAGTACGCGTAAAACTGAAAATAAAATGTTTTTCCCCGATTTTCTGTCCTTTCCGAGCGAAGGGGATACGGTGCCAGTCGATGGACACCCATCTTCGTGAACAATTACCATCCATTTGTTTCTAGTAATGATTCCGTGTTACCGTCACGTAATTAGAGCACCGTCAGTTGCATTTGATGCAATCTCTTGCCTGCATTGTGTACGCAGGTTCCACGATTTTACAAAAATAGGAAAAGAAAAAAAATGTCTGCGGCCATGAAGACAGTTCTTCGTCTTTTTTGTTCCTTTTGTGTCAACTAAAGTGATCGAGATTAATTTAATACAACCTAAAGCTGAAAAGGACCAAGTGTAAATCCCTAATCTTCTGATAAGCGCTCAGATATTTTTGTACACTGTTAACACTAAACCTACCGACGATTTATAACCCCATTACAAATACCATTTAAACCGGTCAATTTGATCCACCGGTGTCAGGTTTAGTGTTAAAAATATTGGGAATAAAGTCAACGTTTATTATAAATATTTAGACACACTTTTTTATTTTATAACCTTATGTTATAAATTTATAACATGTGTTTATAAAATATATTAGAGAAATGTCACAAAATTGCAATATTTGTTTTAACAGTGAAATATTCTCTTTGCAAGGTCGATTGACGTCTCATGGATAATGCGAGCATAGAATTGTTCTCGGTGTACGTAGTCGAAGGGCTATTGTTACTTTTATGTTCCTGGATGTTGCGTTGACAAATGAAAGTTAGCTTATAAAAAAGTGCGTAAGTTAGCATCTGTAGTCTAGGTGTCGAGATAACGAAACCCGTTTAAAACAAGACGACCTCTCGCCAGATTTGAGCCCGTAAGGCCGAAAATCCTAACATGCACAGAATCCGCAATTTGTAACGAGTTTTTAGGTCGATGGCTTGATTCGTTACGGCAGAAAATGTGGAGATTGCGAAGGATGATACTCATGTAAACGTGGAAACGCTCCCAAGAGGTCGAGGGAAATACTGCTTCCGAAGAACGCCCCTCTGGAAAACCAACTTCGATCAGATTTTTCCCGATTATTAAAGTTTTCAGACTTAATCTAATAATTCTTTGAGGATTTAACCAGCTACACCTTAAATCTTGGAGTAGCTCGAACCGCAGAACTAATTCTGAAACGTATAAACTTCGATCAGACTTTGTCTCATTATTAAAGAAGTTTTCAGACTTAATCTGGTAATTTTTCGAGGACGTAGCTAGCTACACCTTATACTTTGGAGGAGATCGAATCGCAGAACTACCTCTGAAACGTGTAAACTTCGATCAGACTTTGGCTGATTATTATAGTAATTATCAGACTTAATCAAACAATTTTCCAAGGACGCAGGTGGTTATACCTTAAACTTTAAGAATGTTCAAATTAGAGAATTAATTCTGAAACCGGTTAACTTTTATTACATTTTGTCTCATTATGACAGAAGTTGTCAGACTTAATAAGGACCTAGCTAGCTACTCTTTGAACCTTAAGGAAGTTAAAATTAGAAATCAATTCTAGAAAGTTTAAACATTGATTAAATTTCGTATCATTATTGCAGTAGTTATCGAGCTTAGTTTGATAACTTTTCGATAATATAACTAGCTATTCATTAGACTTTGCAGAAGTTTAAACTGAAGAATCAACTGTGAAATGTTAAAACTTCGATCTTACTTTGTTTAATCATTATAAAAGTTATCAGACTTAATCTGATTACTTGCTGGGGATGTAGCTGGCTACATTTTAAACCTTGAAAAGGTTCAACTTGAAGAACCAACTGAATCCTATAAACTTTGATCAAACTTCATCTGATTATTACAAACGTTATCGGACTTAATCATATAATTCTCCAAGGATGCAGCTGACCGCACCTTAAGCCGTGAGGAAGTTTAAACTTCGGAAGCATGAAGTGAGAAATTGGAGTTTGTCGAACGACTGCTTTGTTTTCAAACAGAGTCGCGTAAATTCCAGATGCCAATGTAAATATCAATGTTGTTAAGTGTAATGTGAATTGTACATAGGTAGTTAGCATAAGTAGAGTGTAAAGCAAATTCGAAGCGAATCAGACCGTGGAAGTGGTACTTAAAAATTATACGATGGCATGTCCGGATGGAACAGATCCGTCCTCGGAGTGGATTCTATGGTCAAATTCGAAAACGTTGTTTTAATAATTCAGGACTTTTTGGTGCTCTCAATCGCTGCTCTTATAATGCCCGAAAGTAATTGCGATCTTTTCAAGTTTGGTCTGCATTTCGGCGTCAGTTTTAATTGAACTCACAAAATGAAACAAGATTAAAATGCGAAAAATTAATTACTATGAATATTCCATCGGTGGTGTAAAGAAATATTTAAATAACTTTTATTCTCTTCTAAATAATTCAATATATGGAAAGTTTTTACTAGTCTTGCCCGAGAGGAATGACAAAATTCGCATTCTTTTATTGCATCACCAATTTGATTTAGAAAAGATATTAAAAACCTTTCGTTGAGATATTTAATGATAAGTTGTATTATTTTAATGTTAAAATTGTATCAATCAGATAGTCTTTAGAAAAATTGTACACCGAGAGGTTCATTATGAGGTCTGATCTTTTCTTTGCCGTACTTATTGTCTTTACATTGCTGCGCGCAACGATATAGTAAAACTACGTTTTGAGATTTTACTTTATTATTTATCATTTTCTCACCCGATTAAAAAAGGGGAAAACGCTTCGAATTAACTGCCCTTTTTATCCCTCGTGAAATCCTGTTTAGTTAGCGCGCGAAGCTGCAATTTAGTAACGATAAACCAAATCGAAAGAGATTTCACGTGCATTATTGGAAAATTGAACAAAATTCAATACATATGTACATAAATTGTCCTTTTCGAAATGCTGTGCTGCGTGTTATTCACTTATTTAATGCATTAATTCATTGCATCATCTGAACATGAATTCGTTTAAATTATTAAAAATGCAAAGTTCGAAAATTGAGTCTCTAAAAATAAACGTAATAATCTGTTAAATAAATCTTATGAACTGTAGAGAACATTTCGTTCATAATGGCAAATGGGATGTGACTGAAATTATTTAAATTCATTCCAATTAAATCAACATTACGATTTTTCTATATGCCGTATCTTTCTTTCTTGTCTTCTTTTTTATACGTATTGACGTATTGTGTATTAACTACAGGTACATTTAATAGCATTTCCTTCCAAGCTGAAAGAGTAGATATGAAATGAACGTTGCCATTCCATTATAGCACATTTAAGGAAGGTCCTGACATCCATGACATTTTTTTAATTTATTTATAACTGTTTCTTTAATTGTTTCGAAAAAAATGAAATTTTATGGGCGTTAGAACCTTTTTTAGGACCGCCATAATCATGTGGTAAAATTTCAATCAATTTGGAACACCCAGTTCAGATAAAAGTTTCATATACGATCGACCCCTCCGATGCCATTTTCATATTGTCTTAAAATTTTTTATTCCATTAAATTTCAATCTTCTTACGAGGCGTATAAGGGACAGCGTTAGGATTTGAGGTGTACATTCCGTGTTACGCGAGATGCGAGGACTTATCAAGTGTGATTAAGTTGAATGTCCACAAGGAGGGCACAACACCTTGTTAACAGCGATCCGATGAACGACTATTGACTGCATGATTTTTAATTATTAATAACATAAAGTAGTTGCAGGGAGCTCATTTTTCTAGTTAAAGAAAAGGCTTCCTCATTAGCTCCTTGTATACTTCCAGAGAAATTTTGCGACGAGCGAGTAGAATTTTAAAAAGTTTCTTAGAAACGAAACCGCATTCTTGTCCGTAAGAATCTTCGTTGTATGATCGAAATGTAGATTAGTTTTCCCAAATTAAGCGCTCCGTTTTCGGAGAGCAGGAAAGTCAAATCGCTTTAAGGGGGTTGGTAGATTATGAACTGCGTTTCAATCAAGGTGGATTTTAAAGAGAACGGAAATGTGTAAGAAATATTCGCACATGGGGCTATTTTATTTTATGTTTTTCAGAAAATTTAACGGAAAAAAGTTTGAAAATGCTTAAGAATGGCAGATTGAGGTTGGAAATTTCTGATCTTCTATTTTTCATCATGTTCATGATTCCAGGATGTTCGGAAAAAATAGTTTAGGTAATTTTAGAAATTGGACAAAAAATTACTGAAGAACCTATTGTTAACGAAAATTTTGGTTCAAAAGATATCAACGATTAAAGTAGAAAAAAACAATCAAAAAGTGATTGCTAGTTGTTTCTTCTAGTATTAGGATATGAATTTATATTTTTCATCAGAAAACCAAACCGTTGGTTCTTAAACAATATTTTCTGGTTTCTAAAACCACCATAACTTTTTGTTTCAGACTTGTCGATTTTCTGAAATCGTGTACGCCGAGAAAAAAAAAATATTCAGCTTCCGCAAGACCGCCATTTTAACATAGTTAAAAACTTCTTTTCCTTTCAGATTCTCCATAAAACATAAAATATAACAGTTCGGTAAACATTTTCTGTACCATTTCATTCTCGCGTATACTCACTTTGATTAAAAAACATTTTACAACCTACTAACCCCTTAAGCAACCCCTTAACCCCTTAGGTTGTAACTGTATCCCCTGCTGCTTGCGAACGATTTTCTGACTTAATCGTGACAGGTGGAGAAAAAAGTTTAGAATAAAAGTTCGTCAAGGTAAGGAATGGAAAAACTTTTACTGTTGACATTTTTCGATACAAATCATTGTTAAGATAGAAATCGATCGTTTGCATATGATGACTGTTTCGTTGGATAAGTCGGAAGTGCATGATCTGAGATTGTTTGTGTTTTCACTTGTATCAGACCGATAAATTAAGTTTTCTGTCTGATTTAATTGGCGAAACAACGGAGGTGAAGGACTACGATTAATGGTTTAAAGGAACCCAAGTAGACTGTAACTATATTCTGCGAAGAGATCGGGGAGAATCGTTTGTCAGAATTAAGTGGTGTACGTAATCGAGGTATAGTGTATTCAAAGTGTACATAAAACTATAATCGATTCCGTTTTGCGTGGTTCTGGCTAGATCGACAAAGTATAACGACATGTAAACGTGTAACTTGTTGCGTATGTCGTGTGAGCGTATGTCTGCTCTCGTGCCTGCAAATATTCATCCAGAGTATGATTGCACTTACCCCACAATGGTGAAATTCGTTTCGCGTTTGTTGTATAACATTGTCTAGTGACTAGCTATCTAGATGCATTCCATGGTGCACGACAGGCGTTGAATTTAACTTTAAACCCGTTAATGGTAGTTCAGATGCACAGGATGTCGTCAATGTTTTCAAACCTCTTTTACTTGTGCAAGGAAAGGATTTATACTCGGAAGCGTAAAATTAAGTTGTCTTATTCTCCGAAATTGTCGTGTTAAAGACGACGTCCTTTCTTATTGAGATTAAAGTTTCAATCGCTTCTTTCTTGAAGGACTTCGTCTCTTAAAAGTCTCATCTCTGCGAGATCAAAACGATATGCTTTCGCTAATGGAACCGTTACATTTATTCGTTTTAAACTGCAATCAAGTGGTTTCGATTCTTGTTATTAAATTTGTAATGCGAATATATGCGGTATGCTCAGTTTTGTTGCTTCTCGACCCTTCAATCTTGAGCATATCTTTTAGAGTTATTTAGCCTTGTACCTTCTTGAATACTCCAACTTGAAAATCTTAATAATACGATGACACCTTAAGGGGCGTCTTTAGTGTTGATCGCCAAAGAAAAACGTAATTTTTGGGAGTTAAGTTAAAAAAAAAAAACTGTACGTCTTATCAACGTGTAACTTTCTAGGTATATTTGACCACATTTTAAGACCAGTTTTTTTAAAAATATTGAGTTGTTCTAGAGTTAGACGTAATTTACTGGAGTGTCTAAAAAAAGCGTTTTTGTCGGAAACTGTAAAATTAGCTATCGTAGAAGTCTGAAATGGCAAAAACTAAAAAGTCTTAGCCTACATGAATACGATTATCGTTTGAACAAAGATTATCTATAAATGTTGCAAAAGAGCGATTCATTTTTTTGAGTTGCAAAATTCGAATTTTGTATTATTTGAAAAAATTCTAGTTCCAGCAAGAATTAGATATCTATTGAACATAACTGCATAATTCGAAATTGATTCGATCATCCGTTTTTAAGATACTACGGTTACCATTTTATAAACTGCTATTGCGAGAAAAATGTGTTGAAAATCTTATGTGTATCATTGTTGTACCCAAAATGTAGTTTATAACAGAGCTAATCAGCGATTTCATGGTCATACAAAACATTCCTTCTCGTCATAAAAAGCTTTTTTCGATTCGAAAAAAAAAATTAATTTTGGCGACCCTCAACACTAGGGATCTCCCAAAATCTTATTTAACATCAGCTTAATTGCATTAATTAATATATGAAATGCGGTATTCGCAGAGTGCATGAATTCCAATCTACGCTCTTAAAGATGTTTCGATATTTCGAACATTTTCATACAATACAACCGTATAACAAAACCAAAAGCATCCGAAACGAAAACAGGACGAATATATGTTACATTTCGAGAAACACCTTTTCTGCGTGAGAATTCATACAGTGGTATTCAACAGTTTGAATGAAACACTAAGATAAGAAATAAAATCAGTACAAACATTAATAAATCCACTACAACGCGCTTTTCTCAAAATTTATACAACTATATACCTGTAAATGATCGAAAATCGGTATACAAAAACGTTTGAGTTTCCGCATACATGTCTTACGACAGTTGTACACAATGCCCATGAATTCTTATACATGATATGTCCAAAAATAGTACACAAAACACTTCGAAATTCATTATAGGGTGCTCCCTGAAATTCGTACATTCGTATACTAAAATTTCCGACCACAGGCATACAAAAATTTCGAAATATTGTATCTTGACAAAACCTCGACTACACGTAAAGTATATTCCAAGCAGATAGTTTGAACCGTGTAAATTATATTCTCATCGCGTCTCTCTTCGGGTGTTCCATGAATTTATGGGACATTTCGAAGAGTACTCGTCTTGATGTTGAATCGAAAATCGGTAATCAAAAACATTCGAGTTTTTGCTTACATGTCTTATGACAATTGTACATAATGCTGATGAATTCTTATACAAGATATATCCGAAAATAGTACACAAAACATTTTGAAATTCGCTATAGGGTGCCCCCTTGATATTCGTACACTCGTATATTACAATTCCGACCACAGGCATAAACAATTTTGAAACATTAAATCTTTAAAAAATCTCGACTACACGTAAACCATATTCCAAGCAGATATTTTGAACCGCGTAAATCGTATTTTCATCGCGTTTCTCTTCGGGTGTTTCATGAATTTATGGAATATATGGAGGGTTATTAGAGATTACAGGTAATTATTATAATTTCAGAGAGGAATCGTCTCGGTCTCAAATTGAAAATCTCAGGCAATCTTGGAAGTCGGTCTGCTTCTATTTCCGGATTTGCGGAAATCTTAGGCGCGGCGTCTCGAATAATCAAGAGCGCAGAAGGTTCCGTACCTTCTTCTGTGCTAACCTTTGTATTTGTATCGGTATTTCTGTCGATTATGCGACTTCGAGACGCCTTCCTTGCAATTGGATCATTTCGATGATGACAATCGTGCGAGAAATGATGCAACAACGTGACAATGGCGTTTCGAGTTTTATTCGTAATTGCGTCTAACATAGAATTCCGGTCCTTCTTGACATGTCTGGAATGCCGTGATATTATAATGTATGATCGACGCAGGTAAAACTTTCCACGAAGTGACGCACCGTTGCGTTGTACGAAGGAATATCGGAAAATTGTATTCCTCGCAATAGTGCACGTGAAATCGATGTTAGATATTATATGTAAAACATCAAAATATTTAAAAGTTTTCTCCAAACTGAGTGCACAAAATCGTTGGATACTTCAGCATGTAATTATTAGAAGTCCTAAGGAGAAACGTGGTGCTCGTGATACTTAATTTTTGATAAAACATTTTTTTTATTCATCCCAAATTAGAACCAAGAATACATTTTTTTTTGTACCGAAATTTCATGAGCACCGCGTTCTTTCTTAGAGACTTCATAATCACGTGCTGAAATTTCAAATGTTTCGGTACACCCGGTTTGGAGAAAAGTTTTACAAATATTTTGACGTTTTATATATATAGTTAACATCAGAAGATTAAGGTGATATGAAAGGATCATCTATTCTTATCTATTCTATATATATATTTCTTTTCTCCAAATCGGGTGTACCGAATCATTTGAAATTTCAGCACGTGATTATGAAAGCCCTAAGAAAGAACGCGGTGCTCATGAAATTTCATTAAGAAAAAAAATGTATTCTTGGTTCTGATCTGGGATAAATAAAATAATGTTTTATCAAAAACTAAGTATCACGAGCACCGCGTTCTACTTTAGGACTCCTAATTTTATATATATAAGAATGATCCTTTATGAATTTGCAATTAATAGACGTTATCATAAAGTAAAATGTTTATAAACTTACAATTTATGTATATTTTCATGAATTAATATGTCTATAAATTTGCGACTTTTAAACAAATGCTTTGGTTACAAAGGAATGATACAAAAAGAAAGTGCACATTAAGTTATACTTGAAAAATCAAGTAAAGGTTAAAAAATATCAATATACGTGTGTGTGACTTCAATGTGGCAAGGCGTTGTAGAAATTTAGTCTAAATAACAGAGATTAATATTTAAAACATAATTATTGTTATCAAAATGTAAAGCGAAGTTGCTTAAAAGTGGGATGGAACATGGGCGGAAAGGAAGAACAATTTTGCTTGAAAAGAGAGCATCAAACAGCAAAGACCGCAGTAACTTTCAGAACAACAAATACATGAGATATCGTATTTTTTGACCAGACACCGCCTTGCCATCATTTGTATTCAGGTTTTTGTGCATCTCTGCGAATACACGTGTGAACAATTGATGAGTGATTGCGCAAAGGTGCGGCCTTCTTTCAGGTTGCCTCTATTAATATTGTTAACAACGTACAATAAGTGACGATACTCTGAATGGAAGGTGTCGGGCGTTGATAATTGCCTTCATGAATCTTTCCTGACAGAGGTAGTACAATTCTGCCTACAAGAATCTTAGTATTCGTTGTTACTATATTTTTTAAAAACTCAACCTGCTTTGCCAAATTCGGAAAGGGTCCATTTTGAGAATGTAAGGTGATATGAGTCAGCCTATACGTATCTAAGAAGTCAAATCGTTGGTGAAAGTATTCTCCGAAGTGGGTTTATCGATTCGTTTCAAGTTTTACCACATGAACACGGAGGGCTTAAAGTAGATCCTGAAACTCATGAAATTTCATTAAAAAAAAAAATTTGTTTATTTATCATGGAGTAGAACCAATATGGCGAGGTCCGTGTATGTTTTTGATGTTTTACGTTTTTTTAAGGCTTAAAATCGAAAATAAAGAGCTTTAGAACCTAGTTCGAACACTTTAGAATACCGTAGAGATGGTATATTACAGAATCAGATGGGAAAATATGGAAAATACCTTCACCAACGATTGCAAAAGAATGCTGTTTTGTCCCGCGGATAACACGTGTCTTTAGAGCAAAAAAGTAATTGCTGCTAAACGTCACAGATGGCGCCATTGGTCCGTTAGAATATAAAAAGTCATGAATTCAGGGAATGTCGCCAATATTACATCGATCTCTTTATCATTATTTTACCGAAATGACACGTGTAACGCTTCATTTCGTATAATTCTCAACTTAGACTTGAAGACTTCAACATAAATGTAAATGTCGGAACGAGACGCGCCAGCTTATGTTACCACTTGAGAATTCAGTATGGTGCCACCAAAAAGGGTATAGATGAATTTTATTTTATCGACGTCGATTACATTTTTCAACGCGTTTCATATCATCTTAAGAAGAACGTATAGAGGCTGAAATTTATTCAGATAATTTTGGTAATCATTTTGTAAATCTCTCAGCGACGCGCTATTTACCGTTGACAAATCTATTTCGAAAATGTCGGCTACTTTCTTTACTTCATAGTATACATATAACGAAAATCCAAAGCGATGCATCTCTTTAAATTATAAACCATACTTTTAAAGATATGTGCAACTTTACATTAAAGTATACGTGCGTTGTTTCACTTGAAGAAAAAAAACATTCCTGAATACAGGGAAGGACAAATGTAATTGTTCTCGGAGTAAGCAGCTTTTGTTACTTGTTTTACGATTCTTTCCGGCACGCATAAGTGTCAAATTGCTTTGGCTAGGAGCCTCTGACCTAATAAAAAAAGGTAAGACATTTTTAAACGTCGGAAGAACGTTCTTTCGATAAGAGGTTCAACGTATTGTACACGTACATGTAGAACTCTTTTCCGTCACGTATAAAAGCATTTAATTAAACGTCGATATACGATTCTGTGTAGGAGAAATCATTGTTAATGCATCTCTACGTATGGAACAACTTAGTTTTGTCATTGCTCCTAATAGTTACTGTATCTATCCAGGTTCATAATTACGTTTACGGAATACCAAGGGTTTGCGGATAGTTTCCCCCAATTCGTCAGTCTGTCCGATTGGTCGATAGCATTTTTAAAAAATTCAAGACCGACGAGTGTTTGACATATTACTTAATAATTAGGAATGCGTTCAAATGAAACGATGGGTGTTACGAAACGAGAAACATTGTGATCTTCATGAGTCCGCACACTCTTACCAGAGCCCAATGAGCGATTTGTTATCATTAAAATAATAATGCGCTAATTAGTTACGCTAAGGCATCAATGTTTTAATCATTATGTTGTTCGTGCACTGTAAAAATTTATTAATAGTAAATGTACATATTGTAATACCTGATATTAAAAGAAAAGATATATTTAATTCTGGGCTTTCGCCGAGTTGCTTTGATAAATCCCTGTGAAGGCGATATATTATTTAAACCGCATCGTAAATCATGGTTTTTAATTTTAAAAATAGGCTTCAAATATTCACTCCTAGTAAAATATCTTAAAATAAAAATTAATCCATACATTCATTTAAATTTCATTCAATTTTATAGCTGGGGAGTTGGACGCTGCAGTTTTCGGGTAATTACAATGAAACGTGCAAGTGTAGGTAACAACGGAATATTATTTTAATAATGACACTCAGAAAAGTTTACACTTAACCTACGCACGAGCAGATTTGTCGTCAGAGTGTTAAGTGGATAATATCTCGAATGTATATTACATTTACAAATAATGTTCTAAAGGGTATATCGGCAGCATTTAGAGTACGTTACATGTCACATACAGTATGCATATAAACTCGTGCATAAGAATTATGCATAGCGATGCACAACGATGAAAGAACGATCATTATCCACGGTTTGCGGTATTATCGGATCACTTTTCGTTTCGCGTTTTATCTGTGCGAATTTAAGAATAGTATAAAGCCTGACCCGTCTAGAGAGACATAGGCCTATATGCAATATCGTTCTAAAAAAGGTAAATATACTTTTAGTATAAACTTATAAATACGTACACAGACGGGAAACTGCTATGGACATTAAATTCTGATTATCTTTTAAATACTGTCCAACCGCATGAGACTTTTTCCATTTTTCGTTTGAATGACAACCTAAACTACGATCAGACTAACATTATAATAACGTGTAATGACTAATGAAAACGTTCTTTTAAAATTAATATAAAAAGGGATGATTTCAAGAGCTTTTTCCTTCTTGGAATTGAAATGCATTAATCTCCTCCAATCGTGACTTGTAAAAAGCATTCTTAAACCATTAAAACAAACTTAAGATCTTAAATCATTTCAGACATATAGACGTCGCAATATCTGTTTTTCATATTCCTGTCTACAACGGAATTAATCACAATTTCTGAGTTATTAGGAACACGATCACTTGTCATGGTAGAATGTAAAAATAAGTATACTTTGTTTAAGAATAATGTTGTAACCAATTTTTGATTAAAATTAAAAGGAACTAATGTACCGAATCAATTTCACAGCCAAACTTAAACGCAGCGATAAAATAATATTGACTGAGAATTATTTGAAAGTATTTATATAAGATTTGTTTTTCTTATTCATAGTCTACTCAACGAATATTTGTTTTACATCGTACCTCATAAATTCATACACATATACAAAGTAACGAGATTGCTTATAAAGAATATATTCACAAATAAATAAAAGTAATTTCGAGCAGTCATTCTTAACATTTCCACGATTCTTTTTAAATTCGTCTTAGAAACACGATGCTCATCGTGAACTTAGACTAACCAAAAATTCCTTTAGTACGTCAAGCTGAAAAGGTACGTGTACAAACGTTTGAGATAGAGATCAGTATTAATAACAATCAGATCTTCATACGCAATCGCTCAAGTTAACGACAGTGTCGCTATCCAACAAACAAGGGATCCAAAGGGCCCTGTAAACAAATGACTGCTTCAAGTAACCTTGTCAATGATTGTTCCTTATGCTACACTTCGAATGTATTTCGTAATGTTAAAACAATCATCAAAAAAGCTTCGAAATCTAGTAGCAGATAAATGCCAGAGTGAGCCTTCACAGAGTATACCAAACATAGATACATGTGTAACATTATTCTCAATCTATCAAAGAGCGAATCCATGAACTCTCTGTTCTTGTAATAAGATTTACTTTCGCGGAATTATTAGCCCTTTGCACATATCAAAGCTATTGCCATTAGGATGGACCGAAAATATATTGCCGTTCTCTCCCTGAACTTGCAAGTAACCGAAGTCATCTATTCCTATGACTTTGACTTCCTGGGATGTGCCATCCTCCGACATGACCGTAACGTCTGCATCTCTGTAAAATGTTCGTATTAACAAAACCTGGGAATCTACATGCTCGAAAAGGTACTTAAAGATTTAAGGTGCAGTGAAACACGTCGAGAAATTTGATCGACGTCGGTAAAAAAGATTTTTTTAAATACCTACGTTGCCGACATTCATATTTATATCGATAGCCGTGTCGAATTATATAGAGTATTGTACCAAATGGCATACTCCACATGCCGTTTCCGTACAATAATTATAAAGAAATCGAAATAACTCCAAAAATCTCCTGGATTCATGATTTTTATGTTCTAATTGACTGCAGAGCACGACCCTGCGCCATCTGTGATTTTAGTGTTAACTACATTTTCTCTCCGAAATCTCGCGTAACCTTTGTTTTAGCATAGAAGCACATAAGACACTTGTTTTGTCTTTATCCCGTTCAAATAAGAGTTTCTCGATAACTAGATTGTTCTAAATTGTTGTGCAATTGTTCTAACACTTTCGTTTGCCATATCAGGGCCATCAATAATTGTGTGTCGATCGAAATATGAGAGCTCGACGACATCTTGGTTCTGGTCTAGGCTAAGTTATAAAATGTTTTTTCAAAAATCCAAAATTTGAAAGTGTCAATACAATTCTTAAGTAATCACGAGTCATGTGTCAAAGTTTCAGATAGTTCAGGCCAATACCCTTAAAAAAAAGTATCTTATTCGAATTGACTGATTTGAAGAGGGTTTCTCTTCACCTTAAGAGTATTGCACCGAACTGGTCTTGAATTTTACATGACTCGTCAGAACCTAAGAAATATTCTGACACTTTCAAAAGTATGGAATATGGGGTTTAGTATAATTCCCAATATAATTCGACACAGCTATCAAAATAGATACGAAAGCCGGTAACGTATGTATGCAGAAAAATCTTTTTTACCGACGTCGATTAAATTTCTCGATGGGTTTCACTTTCACTTATTTCACTTTCAAAGTATTTCTAACTTGCGAAAAACCTATTAACTTGATATTTCAGTTTACTTTCCCGAGCACTCATTACAAATGCAACTTACGTGTGCAGCCAGTGCTGATAGTAAGTTTCATATAAAGTGTCCATATTGCCACCTTGCACACTATTTAAAAGATTCTCCAATTGGTTAAAGATAAGTGCCAGAAATCGTTCCAACGAAAAGGTTTGCAATTTATCACCATTGAGCTCGTTGTGACGAGCGATAAGCTGATTGATAGAGCAAGTGGGCTCCTTGTTTGACAGATTGATTCCGACACCTGAAAGTAATTATTTGCACTGTCATCTTAATTTTCATATTAAATGTTAACTGGAAACGAATCAAACTTGAATTATTCTTTTTATTTAGCAAAGTACTGGTTACAAGTCAGTAATCGTACGATACCGTTCGAAAAATGTTTTTCAATTTGAATTTTCATCCATATTTTTATATTTCTTACAAAAGGATCAGTTACAAACCTATATTACAGATCATCGTTGATGCGATCACATTCGATTGAACTAGAAGGCCGCCAAGTTTTATGGAACTCCCAGCGTATATATCATTAGGCCATTTCAATCTAATATCAATTTTCTGCAAAACATTCAAAATGAATACAGAATTACGAATATTCAGTAACTGAAGGAAATAAACTACAAACCTCGTAACCTTGAGTGGACTTTACTGCTAAAACTACTGCGACTGAGACCATATGTTGAAGAAGGGATACGTGTCTTCCTAGCGGTGAATGCAAAGGAATGTGAAGTTGAAGAGTGAACATAGCGCAACCCTCTGGTCCCAACCAAATGTTCTTTTTCCTACCTGTTAACATAAAAAAGTCAGGATAGTTATTCTCCATTATTAATAAAAAAAAGTTCAAGTATCAAGGATTATACAATAAAGTCATACCTTGTCCTTGAGTTTGTCGTCGAGGAATGATCGCTAAACCATGATACAAGGAACGGCCGTTTGTTACATTCATGGAAGACGTCATTACATCGCTGTATATCACTAATCGACCCACAACTTTTGTGCTAAGGATCTGGAAAAGGAAGATATTATATTAAATTCTATATCCTGACCGTTACAAATCATTTCGGGCACGAAACAACTGAAATAAATTATTATGCCCCAAATACAACAAATATTCCTTCCCCGATTCATTAACATCGTTTCTCAGCAAAGAATTTAAGCACAGGGTTCATAAAATTACAAATATTTTTAAAACACTTTTAGCGAGCCGCATATTTTATTAATTTCCCTCACACCTGCTGGAACTTCACAATGTCGGGGTCAGGTCAGTTATATGGCTCTCCAAAAATGGTTTGATAATATTTATAATTTTATGGATCTGGCAAAAGATGTTTACTTAAACTTGTTTAACCATTTTCAGAAAGGTACACTGTGGTCTAGTAAACATTCGACAGTTCATAGAGGATAAAGACTCACCTCAAAGTATTCTACCGTGGAGAAGTTATCGGGACAACTATGTATCATAACCGGAAGCAGGGTAGAAGAAGGAGGCATCGCCTTGGTACCTTGCTCACAGAACTGAATATCCATGTTTGTCATTTTAAGAATATTATTTGGCTGCATTGCATCTTTCAGCTGCTTCAACATCTCTAATTTCAGCTGCATAATGGACAATGCGAGTTACAACGACTGGATGCATCGATTTCGAGTATGCTTATGAGTAAAAGTAAGTGTATGTTTACTACTGGAGTGTGGAGATCATAAGGTGCAATGAGTGTTATCGATCTTCTAGTGCGTCATCTGCAGACAAGTTAAACGCTCTGCACTATCGATCATAATATATCGTATTTAGTAAATATCTAACAATAAGAGTATGCCTCTTAATATTTGCCAATTTTCAGAATAACTTTATTGCCCATTATCATCATTATCGAGATGACTCATTCCATTCATGGTTGAAATCGGTTTCTAGCAACTATCGGTTCGTGATTCAGATTCTTCTAATATGAATATTGGGTTGATCCACAAGTTCGTGTTGTTGAAATATTCAAAATTATATTATATACATTTTTTTAGGAGGGAGATTGAAAAACTGCCTAAACATTGAGAAAAAATGTTTAACGAAGATGAAAATGTTTTGTTAATTAATATTGTTAGATTTCACTTCTTAACATAAATTTGTTTATATATAAAAAAAGAGACACAAACTTATGGGACAGCCCAAGCAAATATGAAGAAATTAAACGTAATCAATATTTTCACCTTTAACAGTTTATAATACCATACGGCCGTGACGGAAATGTCAATTTGGAATAAGATAGGTTTAATAACGAGCAGTTCAGTTGAGATTACTATGAGCGTTCAACTAGCAAACTATGCACGGTGAGTACATAATTATAAAAATACAAACTACATATTTTACTATCCCTCTTTGTAATATTTAGGATTCAAATAAAAATTCTCACACTACACCGTCTGCTAAAATAAATGGCAAAGTGTAGGAAAAAAAACTTCCTTTGTGCTTTTTTGAGAGTGGTCATAACATTTAAAAAGAACGTACAATTTATTCTTAAAAAGATCACGGAACACATACCTCATACGTTCCTAAGAAGAAACCTGGAGTGTAAACTGGTGCTACGCAAGGTTGAGGACTAACATCCACTCCAAGATGAGTGCTAAGCAAGTCACTAAAAATCTCCAATCGCGCTGAATTACTTTGCTTCAAGACATTGAATTTACTTTCCTCAAATTCATATTGCGACGGGTCAGCTTCCAAATGAATTTGGGAAAATACAGCTTTTCCCCCAGTTTCTGGCAAATCGGCAAGCAGTAAACTCGGTGTATGCCACGTTTCTTCGGTTCCTAACACACGTACGTGGAATATATGCGAATTTCCTGCTTTGTCATAGACATTGGCGGTAGCCGGCGTTTGAGGAACTGATACCCTAAAAACACAATTTAAAAACAAATGTTACAAATAGTATGGCAAAGTATTCCCACATTCGATGAAGTGCAAAAACCCCATCTGCGTAATGTACGAAAAGGAAATTAATTCCTAAATGATAAATCAATGAACCAATGGATTGCCACGTCTTACTTAACGTCTTCGTGGTCCTGTGAAAACCTTGTCTTGGCAGGAGAAGCTTGATAGCAAAATATGTGATGCATCATTCGAACATGTTTCCACTTTCCATAAGAAAAGCGAACAAGTTCGTGTTCACGTACTTCAGCAGTCTTGAACGATGGAAGTAAGGTGTGCAAGGTATCGGAGCAGAGAGCGAGTAGTTTCCCACCTTTGACCATGTATTCGACAAGCTGGGAAGCCACCTCGTTACCAACATTACCGCACACGATTACTAAAATAGCTTGTTTCACCCAAATATCGCTGCAAGCTTCCGATGCGGACAGTATGTACACTATATACCTAATAAACATTGAATTGCAAAGTTATTAAACGATACAAGCCAATTAAAATTCAGGCAACGTGTAAGAAATATAAATAATTTTTATTACAAAAGAGTATATTTACTTCATCCGGTTGACTATACTGTCGAGAACGTTTTTCACATTATCAACGGCCACAGAACTGTCTCCATAAATGAGTATATTCATTGGTTTTATAGCAGTTGTGAAATCTGTTACTTTCTTTGAAGGAGAATAGCTGAGACATAAAAAATAACATATCACAACGATATACTGCCGATCCATTATACAAATCTATTATACTTGTGTGGAATGCTTACTTAGCAGCACTTGTCGATGGGAATATTTTGCGTTGAGATGGCATACTACGAGTGGCAGAGTTTTTGTCTGCAAACATGTCCAAGGATTTAGAAAGTCCGGAGTCTTTAATATCTTCGGAAGATTGCACGTCTAAGCCCAAATCTTCTTTTAGAATTAAATTCTCCGATTTAGACAAACTTGGACTGGTGGGCAAAACTGCCGATTTATCCGCTGAAACCATTGGAATTAAATCCATCGACTTTGTTAATGCTTGTGACAATCTTGATGCGGTGCCATTAATGACAGCACTAGCCGAAGCAGGTGTTGGTGGCGGTGTTGACGGTACCGGACAGTCAGATGGAACATCCTTTGAATCTAGTAGATTAATGTCACATAAAAATATTATTACAGTTTAAGGCCTTATAAAAACCTATGATGTGAAACAGAGGTAGGACTATACCAGAAATGAGATGAAAGATTGCTCCTTATAGAGTTTTCAGTGCCATATATCGTTTCCGTAGAGTAATTACAAAAGAAATCGAAGTAAATCCCATGGATTCATGGTTTTTTATGGGCTAATTGACTGCAGAGTGCCACTCTGCGTCATCTGTGATTTTAATGCCAACTACATTTTCTCTTCGAGACCTCGTGTTGCCTTCGTTTTAACATAGAAGCACAAAAGGCACTTTTTTGCCTTTATCCCGTTCAAATGTGAGTTTCGCGATTACTAAAGTGTTCGAAATTGTTGAACAATTGTCCCGACATATTCGTTTCTCATATCGGAGCCTTCAATAATTGCATTTTAATCGAAATATGAGAGCTCGACGTCATTTTGGTTCTGGTGTAGGCTAAGTCAAAAAAAGTTTTTGAAAATCCTACTTTTGAAAGTCTCGGAATAATTCTTAGGTACTCACAAGTCATGTGCCAAAGTTTCAGACAAATCGGTCCAACACTCTTTAAAAAAAAGTGTCTTATTCGAATTGACTGATTTGAGAGAGGTTTCACTTTACCTTAAGGTAATGTGAAAAAGTGACGTTAAAGAGTTCTCGTTTATTAAACTTTTCTTGAAACTGGGTGTACTGAATCGATTCAAACTTTACAATATAAATATTGAAGGTATAAGGAAGGTCCTGAAACTCATAAAGTTTCACGAGTGTTAGGACCTTCCTTATAGCCTCTACATTCATGTTGAAAAATGTGAAACGATTCATCACACCCAATTCGGAGAAAAGCTTCATGAACTGTCCAGATGCCGGTTTTACATCCCCTTAAATTCTCGAGAATTTAAAAACATAACTCCTTAGACGGGTAAGCCGCCGTCGGGTATTGCAAAACGGCACGACCATTGCGAAGGTGCGAGCCAACCGCATTCTCCATCGAGGGCAGTACAGGACCGCGATCGCCCTACCCTGCCCACCAGCAATCTCCCAACTAATCTCTTACTATACCAATAGAGATTTTGTTTATAAACTTTTACCGGATATATCGCCAGGTAATGTGATTTCAAGAATCATAGGCATTTGCAGGGATAAAGATTTAGTTCCTGGTGATATTACTATTCCTGGTGTATCTTCCACTTCCATCGGTAATCCTTGCTGGGCTACTAACCTAGCTGCACTACCAAATATTCTTAGTGTTTTGATGTGAGCATCCCACTGGGCTTTGCCTATTAATTCTGAAATATAGGAAGTAGAAATGTAAATACCAAAACTACAACCACTAAATTGCATATTACGCACCACTCACTTTTATTGTACGAAGGAATAAACTCCTCGCCGTTGTAAATGCACGGTTTCCCTGATACCAAAACAGCTGAAAAGAAACAAGACAAATCAGCAAATGTTTCATTAATGCAGACCTATTTACTTACATTGAACACGCGTGAGCAGTAATCCATTATTTATGAAACATTCTCCATTCATAAGCGTCGTTGAAAATTTAGTGATGTGGTCCAAATCAGTCTCCAAGATGACTCCAAAGTACTTATTCGATGTCCAAGCGAGAATTTGACCATAATCCTCAAGCTGAAGGTTATGATTTTATCTTGGCTTTGCAGAACTTTAACGGTCAAGCTTTAGATTGAAATATTAGGAAGAAAATTCATACTACCTTTGTTGCCCTTGTGTAAGCCAGTGGACTATAATTGTCCATGTCGGCTTCGATCAATACATGCATTCTAGGGTCCTTGATTGATGCTTGTCCATAGTTATGAGAACAAAGGGGAAATAACGTCTTTCCATGAGGAAACACTAGCCAAGTCAAAATATCGATTTTTTGCTGAAAGAGAGATTTGTTTTGTTAAAACAACTAATGTATAACCAAATGAAATTATTAAAAGCTAAATCAAGCCAAATAATATTAGAAACTAAATTTGAAAACATTTTATTTGGCGAACACTGACATAATGCTCATAATTACTGTGAGTACTTTTAATGGGTGACAAATGAAATGTTTTCCAATTTATATTTTAATAATTTTTTATTTTATTAGATTCAATTTTTTAATTTGTTCAATTTTGTTTCATGAAGTTGAGAACTATATTTTCACAATCATATGATTTTGAGAGAAGTTAGAATTGTTTTGAATATATGTACTTGTATCCTATGTGAAACAATAAGTGTTGATATTTAGTAAAAATATTTCATTTGAATTTATAAGGGGAAATGGTACGATTAAAAAAACCCGAGTTGACCGTGCTGCTACGTAATACTTGTGACGTGAACTAGTGACGTAAGCGCCGCTGCTGAATCAAAATCGCGGTGCGTGAAATTCACGGCACCGCGATTTTGATATGAAGCAGCCCTATCCCAATAATGTTGAGCGTTAGTCATCGAGCGTTGGGACTCAATAAAAGTTATGTACTTCACGTAAAGATATAAAGACTTTGTTAATAAGAAATTCATTAGAAAGCAGATATCTATTGTACTACACAACAACAAAAAATCGACATTTATAAGTTTTGAGCGTTTTTGTACTGTGTGTACATACATATTGCATCTATTAGGAAATTCTACAAGGGCGCCGATAAGTATGGTCTGTAGCTAGCTGTTTCTATCTTAGACCATATATATTTAGACTTTGCATTGAACCTCCCACTCCTAAATTTTCAGTGCATTTTGTTCTAATCCTTTTTTTGTAGTTTTTTCATATTTATGCAAAATAGAGCAGTCATAATAATATGCTATGATATATGCTGCACTTGCGCAGTAAAAATATGTCCCCTTCATTTCTGTACGCTCTATTGTTGCTATGTTGAAAAAGTACTTTATTGAAAATGTTAATAACCATTACATACTTGAGGATAAATGGTGCATAGTCGTTTATCTGCTTGGAACCACAGAAGATCACCCAGTTTAGCGTCGTTCCGATTGCTGCAGAAATGAGAACTAAGCATGTTGTCAACACATTCGTTACCATTAGATATTGCACTCTTGCTTCCCACAGGATCTTGAAAGGAAACAATTTAATTTAAGTAAGTGATACCAAGAAAATTTCTGTTTAATATAACTTCTATAGTTCATATTTTAATCAGATACTTCTAAAAATAAAATAAAACCTATTCATAAACATATCTTACCTTCTTTCGGCCGAGTAGATTTCCCATAAAACATTATTGAAGGGCGAAAATTATCAGGGCCTTTGAGAACAACACTAAGACGAGCTCTGAGAGTCGAGAGCCGCCAAGCTTGAATCCACGTGGCAACCATATAGAAGAGTGTCAATAACATTTTGACACGGTGGTATGGACCATGCAACTGCGCCCCTCCTTTTAAATGGGTAAAAAAGAGATTGAATAATTATCATTCATAAAGTAAGCATAATCATGTTAATAATACAAGGAACAAAAAATTATCTCAACCCCGAGAATAGTCATTTGCTGACTTAATATTTTAATCAAGCATTGATGCAGAGCAAGTTAAAAAACTAAAGTTTAACTAAAAATTAACACATTTCAGAAAAACTATTCACTTTAAAACAATCACTGTCAGAAACAGTGACCTAAATTTAATTATATATCACAATAAATACGGATTCAGAATATGTTTATACTCTCGTTTCGTGCTTTTGATAAGATTAAGACGTATCGTCAAAAAAGTGCGTATTTGCTGTTAACTTATTGCCTTTGCGATTGATAATGACGTTATCACGTGATCAGTAATCAGACGCCGAAACACGGTCACTGGAGTAACCGAGTTTCTAACCTCACCGGGCACTTTACTCATCAGTGATAAGATACAATTTAGGAATATATCACCCGTCCTATCACTGATTGCCTATGGAAGCAAAACACGAAAATTCGATACATTACTGAATTGCGACTGTCTGGTAGCGGGGAAAGTAGAAAATTGTTAAAGTACGTACACACCTAATCAATGCTCTGTTTTCCGAAAAGGAGGTGAATGCACCTTTCAGCAGACGATTTTAAAATTGTTAAGTTTTGCACTGCCAAGATGGCGCTCGTAGAGTATGTACAGTTTCAACATATAAACCCGTAGGGTAATCAGATGTAAATTCAACATGCAGGGTGTCTCTGACCATCCATCCACCTCTATTAAAATAAAGAGGAATGGTTTACTTGGAAATCCCAAAACATTCTAATAAGTAAATCGGGTATGCTCCGTATAATAATGATAATTACAACTTCGAGTACTAAATGGAAATGGGACATAAATACCAGAAGTCAAGTTTTTCAAATGCTGTATGGTATTCATGGCAGTTTCTACGTCAAAAAATATGAAAGTTTTATCTCGACGATTTTTGTATAATGCTTGCATCACGTTTGAAATAATGTTGAAAGCCTAATTTATGAATATGTAATATATAATATAATCATAATTTCTAATTAGAAGATCTAATTTCCTAGCTAACTGTTCTATTCATGAATTACACTCTGAAAATTATTTGAAACTTGATGCATTTAATATCTTCGAAACAAAACTTCCTTCGTTTGAACGTAGAATCTGAAACTGTAACGGAAAATACTACGTACCACTCGAAAAACACCATTTCCAGTATCGATATCCCACTACTGTTTAATACTGAAAATTGAAATCGTCATCATTCGATAGAGCGTACCCCATTTGCTTGTCAACATTTTTGTGAATTTCCATTCCCCTCCATTTGAATAGAAATGAGCAGGTGGTTAGGAACACACTCTTCTTGCTTTAAAATTATAACGTGGAAACTATACAGCCGACACGTGCGAGAACTATTCGGTGAAGTAGAAATCTCTATGCCATTCTGTAAGGAATGCCCTTCGGCTTCGCAGGATTTAAAACAAATAAATAAGCACGTGTAATAACATAGCAACAAAGCGAGCTTCCCTATTTTAAGATGAACATCCAAGCCGGTCTCGTTATATTCCTATTACATGAAATTCAATAATCAATAAATCGAAATTCCGACAATGGGTGTTCAAATTTAAAGGTAACATTTGTCAGCTGTAAATAACACTCTCAAAGACATAGTTTAATTATTCCCAAAAGTGTATGTAGAAAAGCTGTGCCCTCACTTAACCCTAGTGACCCCTATAATGAAACCCTTCGAATACTTTTCATTATACTGTAGTAGTTTCTTCTTAAGTGATCTTTTGGAAGGAAACGCTGTTACAGTAGTTTCGAATTTATTTCGGCAACTGTGTCGAATTATATCGAATATTGTACTAAATGGTATACTCCATATATAGTTACAGTACAATTATAAAGAAATTGAAGTAAAACTTCAAAAAATCCCTCGTATTCATGGTTTTTGAGGCCCTGATTGACTGCAGAGTGACACCCTACCCCATCTGTAATTCCAGTGGCAACTAAATTTTCTCTCCGAGACCTTGTATTACCATCATTTTAATATAGAAGTGCATAAGACACTTTTTTGGCCTTTATCTCGTTCAAATGTTAGTTTTTTAATTACTAACGTGTTCTAAATCGTTGTTCAATTGTCCTGACACTTTCGTTTCTCATATCAGAGCTTTCAATAATTGTATATTTATTCAAATATGAGAGTTCGACTTCATGTTTGTTCTGGTCTAAGTTAAGTCAACAAATTTGTTTCGAAAATCCAATTTTTGAAAGTGTCAGGATAATTCTTAGATGCTTAGAAGTCAGATGCTAAAATTTCAGACAGTTCGGTCCAATACACAAAAAAAACTGTCTTATTCCAATCAACTGATTTGAGGAGGGTTTCACCTCACCTTAAGAGAAGTTTTAAAACGATAAGTCAATACAGTGGCCTTTTTTAGTTCTGATTGAAAATTGTAGATATATCTCTCTACAGCAGAATTGTTTGTACAAAGATACAGATTCCTGATTAGCCCGGTCATAACGCAAGGGATACTTGAGAGGCATTTTTAATATGTAATATAGCAGTACGCACATACATACATGTTACAATGTTTTAGTTGTAAAATTTATCCTGCACGAAATATAAACCCCAGTTTGCATAATAATTAATATGGGTTATTACTGGAATACTGATAAGAAATTAAAAATAAATAAATAACTAGTTACAATTTGGCTCTAGTAGATGCCAATTCAGGGTCGTTGATAAGACAGATCTTTAAATAAGATCCTGGAGGATGATGTATTAATATTTTCTCTAATTTTAAGAGTAATATCGCCAGTTGTACTCTATTTCCATGATAAACACACGGATCTCCAATAGCACTAACTGCTTCGAGAGCAATGAGACTAGTTATAGTAGTAGAGTACAAGTCGAGAGAAAGAGTGTACGGATGCCTGATGAACTTGTCTTCACTAATTAACAGTCTTTCTGTTTGCTTCTGAGTTTCTTTTAGAATTTTCTCGTGCACCGGAGGGCCCATTGTCGATTCATTCCACTGTAAATATATACATCAATCCTTAGTGACTTTATTATTTCAATTTTTAAACTGATATGAACATAACATCTGAAGGATCTCATTTATGTAACTTTTCTGAATCTACTGAATTGTTTCAAACTTTACAATGTGGACATGGAGGCTATAAGGAAGGTCTTGACATCTATGAAATTTTATTTTTTATACAAAAAGAATGTTGATAAACAAATTAAAAAAATTAAATGTCACGAGTATCAAGATCTTTCTTAAGGACTCCATATTCACGTGGTAAAATTTTAAACAATTCAGTACACCCAGGGCAGTTCGTAGAAAAGTTTCATAAACAAGACCCCTTTGACGCCACTTTCACATCATCTTAAGGAATTTAAACTTTACTTGATATTTGATACGAGTGTTTTATGAGTTTGGATATTTTTGCCAATAGTATAATTATAAAAATATATATACCCAACATACTTAGCATATAAAATAGTTGTGATTATCTAAATTTGCTCATCTTCATAAAATGTTAGTAATAGAATCTTTCTAATAAAACATACCTGTAAAATTGTAGAACAGGTCATGTATACTGCCGCTATGTACGGTAAAATGAGATTACATAAAAGAGACATGAGTTTTGGGTTATCACCAGATACAAATGAGCCATTTATGTATTTAATGCAATTTTGCTTTATCAATAATGCTAAACCTTCTTGCCATTCATTGTCGAGCTGTGGTTCTGTTACATGTGCTGGCATAGCAAATTCTGTGCTGAGTAAGTTCCTAAGTATTCGGTACACTTCGAAGGCTTCATCTGAAAATTAAATTTAATTAACATTAAATCGGTAAGCTAGTATTTATAATATTTACTTCATTTTTCTTAATTAATGATGTTATTTTTATATTTTATAAACACTGAAATTACTTAATAGTAATACATAAATGTAGGTTTTTCTTACCTTTAGTAATGTTGGCCCATTGCAATGCTAAAGCGATTATTGCAGGCTTTGTTAAAAACGCAAATGCAGGATTTACATAAGTCATTATGTTAATTACAGGTATAGTAATTCTCATTGTTTGCTCATTCAATGAATGACCTTTTACATGTTTATGCTTATCAAGAATTGGTCCTTTATGCCTTTCCTTCAATTTCAGCACATTATTTGAATCCAGTACCAGTAAATTTGTATGTATTTTTAAACATTCCTGGATATCGTGATATTCTGTTTCATCTTCTACAGTTTTATGCATGCTATCAACATTTTTTTATTAATACAAATGTCTCAGACATGGTTTAATAAAAGATAAAAATATACATACTTCGATGCTCTTGGAGATACAGTAGCTCCTAATGAATCCATCAATATCGTTTTCATCCAATTGTAATCACGGAGTAACATTTCCAATGTATAGGGTTGATTAGGGAATGACTGAACATTTTCATTGAATAGTAAAGCAACAATATTAAATGGTGTGATTACTGTATACTTTTTATGACTATTAATAATTGAATTTGCTAGACTTTTTACTGCTGCCATAGGTAACTTTGAATACGGATTAATAGAATGTTCTGTTCGCATTACAAAATCTATGTAATCCTGTGCATGAATTGGTGGAGCTATATGAATGTAAACATGTCCATAAGCAAAAGGCTCACGTAAAATTGATAATGATCGAAGAAGACCACTTGTCGATTCTGCAGGTTTAGGAATACCCAACAATTCGTAGGCAAATAGCAATTCCTCTAACGGTCTGTCATAACTTATACTAATAGGGATGTAATGAATATCAGGAACATTTCCATGATATAAACTCTCGAGTGTATTCGCTAAAAATCCTATAACAAAAGAAGTATGTTAACATAGTATTACATTATAGAATGAATTGTATTTCTATTATTACACATAAGGAAAATTCTTATATGAAATTACCATTTTAAGATCTTTAAAACTCACCATACTTTGGTGAAAGACTTTTTTGACTGCGACTTCTGGTACCTTCGATGAAGAATTCAATAGCTCGGTCACTGTGTTCAATAATGGTATTCACATACACACGGAATATTTCTTTATACAATCGATCGGAACTAAAACTACGTCTCATATAAAATGCTCCAGTCTTCCTGAGAAGTTCTCCAATTATCCGCATCTGATAAAAATCCATGCCACTTGCTATGTTTGGCAAAGCCATGTTGTATGAAAACAATATGTACGAAATTAATATAAAATCCAGATAACTCCTGTGAGTAGGCACATAAATGTACTGTACTTCTGCAATTTGCATTCCCTTTCTAATATTCATAAAAGTGTCTTCGTTTATTCGAATGCTCAGCAGGATCTGCTTCAATGCTTTTGTGATAAATATTGCTGAAATAATTATCCACAATTCATATAGTTTTACTCTGTTTTAGTAATCTATATATTCTCATATCTTCAACTGCTTTTCCAAAACATACCTATCCAACGGATGGTAGCAAGATCAGCTTTACTGGCCATTTCTTCTAAAATACTTCGTGCTTTCCGTTCAATATCTATTTCACGTAATCCCTCAGTAGAAGTCATTTCTTTCATTACAGATAAGACTCGAGGCACTTTTAAGACGGCGTCAATTATCTTGTTTCTAGAGAATTTTGCCCCTGTTGGCAATTTGTGGGGTGACAATGGATCCATTGGCCGAGAAACCCATTGGATATCACAATCCTTCCGTCTCTCTGCCAAAATGTCTAAAAATTTAACACAATTCTCCATAGTATCAAAGCCTCCAATTATTTTCACAGTAGAACCTTAAGTTGTCACTCAGTCAGAGAAATGTTTTCAGATTCTGCCTGTAGCAAAGTCCAAGTTCCCCAGTATGTAGTGCCTGATTTAAAATTAAAATCATATGTTTAATGAAGATGGATAGAAACTGCTTTGCAAGCCAGGAGTGTATACAAAAGGAATATGATAGAAAAAGAGGACATGTTGGAAAAATAAAGTAAACACCGAGCATTCAATGTTTCTTTACTAAATTCTTTAAATATTTCGTTACTTGAGTTATCTCCTCCGGACTACCATGGTTTCTGCTAATCATTCGAACTATAACCTTATCAGCCGCTCTTTCATCTTGACATCGTTCACAGTATCAAATATTATCAAAGAATTCAGAAGTCTCCATAGAAGCCCAGTACCCGTGTTGACTCTTGATACCCAATGAATAGTCACCAAGTGGAACGCTAGATGGCAGCACGGATGACCTGAAGCATTACAGAGCGAGGGGAAGAGCATGGACAGAGATGAGTTGGGAGATTGCTTACGGGCAGGATCGTGCGATCGCATCCTGTGCTGCCCTCTGGTTTCGTACGTTAGCTTTCACCGTTTCTTGCCCCCAAG